ATCTGATTTTTTTGAAATTGAACATGTACTGCTATTAAAAATCGGGGGGAGCCCAGCCAAGGCGTGGCTCGGGTTGAGCGACAACCTATGAACCAGGAGGTCACGGTTTGATTCCCGATCAGGGCACATGCCCAGGTTTTAGGCTTGATCCCCAGTAGGGGGAGTGCAGGAGGCAGCCGATCCACGATTCTCTCTCCTCATGGATGTTTCTCTCTCTCTCTCCCTCTCCAAAATCATAAAAATGTGGGGTTTTTTTTTTAACAGTCAGACAGGCACGGGGTAGCCTCCAGTTAAGAAAGCCCCTGTCCCTGCACAGAGATTGGCCTATTTACAGACGTCTGTAGCTTAAACAGTGATGGCGAACCTTTTGAGCTTGGCGTGTCAGCATTTTGAAAAACCCTAACTTAACTCTGGTGCCGTGTCACATATAGAAATTTTTTGATCTTTGCAACCATAGTAAAACAAAGACTTATATTTTTGATATTTATTTTATATATTTAAATGCCATTTAACAAAGAAAAATCAACCAAAAAAATGAGTTTGCGTGTCACCTCTGACACACGTGTCATAGGTTCACCATCACTGGCTTAACATGAGTGCGAGTGTGATTGGCAGGAGAGACAAGGCAGCTTAGCCTACCTTCGATGGCGGTGCTGTCCCCAGTGCTCTTGGCTGTCAGATCAAAGGTGCTGAACCCTGTCCTTCTGAAAACGTCTCTTCGGAACATAATTGTCAGCCTGTTTACGCACTTCAGGGCCCAGCAGGCTTGGCTGCAAAATGCAAATGGCAGAGAGACGAACAGAGGGGCCCTGCCTAAGGCCGGTCTCAGTAAGCACTCCACCAGAAACACCTGAGGAGAGACCAGTGCACGTGTGTTCAGGAGCAGGGAGAGGTTACAGCGTCAGTACAGGAGCCACACCAGGAAATCCTCCTTAAAAATCCTCCACGGTGGCCCTAGCCCAGTGGTTCTCAACCTTCCTGATGCCGCGAGCGTTTAATACAGTTCCTCATGTTGTGGTGACCCCCAATTTCACTGTTACAAATTGAACATAATTAAGCATAGTGATTCATCACAAAAACAATACGGAATTATAGATGTGTTTTCCGATGGTCTTAGGCGACCCCTGTGAAAGGGTCGTTCAACCCCCAAAGGGGTTGCAACCCACAGGTTGAGAACCACTGTCCTAGCCAGTTTGGCTCAGTGGATAGAGCATCGGCCTGTGGACTGAAGGGTCCCTGGTTTGATTCAGATCAAGGGCACATGCCAGGGCTGCGGGCTCCATCCCCAGTAGGGGGCGTGCAGGAGGTAGCCAATCAGTGATTCTCTCTCATCATGGATGTTTCTATCTCTCTCTCTCCCTCTCCCTTCCTCTCTGAAATCAACTTTTTAAAAATCCTCCACTGTGGCCAAAGCTTTATTCTGAATCTCAGGAAGCCTTGCATAGTCACTGCTTGTCACTCACTGTCTTTCTATCCTGCCCATCATGGTCACACACAGCAGAGTCCCCAAAGCTCCCCTTGGGTTCCAAAAGCATGCGGCCACACTGGACCCCCAACCCCCAATCAGGTTGCATTTGGCCAAGTAGGATCTCCCTTCTTGGAGGACTTGTCAAGGGCTGATCCGCCTTTGCTGCTGCCTCCCCGAGTTCCTTGCCCTCTGGTGCCCATGTACATGCGCCACGTAAAAGGGCCTGTTCACCCTGGCCAGTTTGGTTCAGTGAATAGAGCCTGTGGACTGAAGAGTCCTGGGTTTGATTCTGGCCAAGGGCATGTACCTCAGTTGTAGGCTCCTCCCTGGCCTGGGCCCTGATGGAGGCTTGAGCAGGAGGCAACCAATCCATGTGTTTCTGGCACGTTGATATTTCTCTCTGTCTTTCCCTCTGTCTTCCACTCTCTCTAAAAATCAGTGGGAAAAATATCCTCAGGTAAGAATTAAAAAAGAAAATGAAAATAAGGCCTGCTCACATATCACTTTCTCACAGAGACATTCAGAGGCCGGTGCACTTCTATTTCCTTCTGGGCTTGGTACTGTCCAGCCCAGGCAGCTAACCGTCATGTAAGGAGAGCCAACGTGACCCAGGTCCTGCTTCTTGGTCTCTCTCTCACCCTCCTCCATCCCTTTGGCTGACTCAGGCCCCATGCGCAAAGTTTCACTCACAAACATCTGTCTCTGTGAATGGACGCTGTTGCTCCCAAGGACAGTGTTTCTTGGCTCTAGGAATGAATGCCGCCTGTTCTGTGGCCTTGAGAGGAGGGGGCGGTCTGACCGGTCCTCGCTGAGCTCTGCCTGTTGGCTAATGCTTCCTGCCTCCAGCCTCCGAACCCTGACCCCTTCCTCCTGAGGCCGAGGCACACCAGGCAACCCCTACCTTTGGCAATACATGTTGGTGGGTCCCGCAGGCGAAGATCCATTTCCTGTTGGGAGAGCAGTGAAGATGGTCCACAGGGTACTCAAATGCATTCACGTGAGAAATGCTGTTTAACTCGGGCACCGTCAGTGTGTAGATGTCCCCTTCAGAGTCACCGATCTGAAACCAAAGCACCGCCCACCACGTCAATAGAAGGAGATGTGAAACCCTAGCTACGGGAGGCAACCAATCCACAATTTTTCTTTCTTTCTTTTTTTAAATATGTTTTTATTGAGTTTAGAGAGGAAGGGAGAGGGAGAGAGAGAGGTAGAAACATCAATGATGAGAGAGAATCATTGATCAGCTGCCTCCAGCATGCCCCACACTGGGGATTGAGCCCACAACCCGGGCATGTGCCCTTGGGAATCAAACCTGGGACCCTTCAGTCTGCAGGCCAACGCTCTATCCACTGAGCCAAACCGGTTAGGGCGGTACCACCATTTCTTCAATTATGTGACCAGCCTGCCCCACAAGGTCACTGGGATGATCCCAAGGAACAAAATGTCCTAAGCCCTGAAGCCACCCCAGGCTACTGACTCATTTGCACATCAACACTCTACTTTTTTCTCCGTGTCTCCCCAAACTCATGTCTCTCGCTACATGATATCCCTGTCCAAGTTCATGTCCTCCACAATAAGACACACTTGAAAGAAAAAACTAGATATAAAATAATTCAAGAAGGTTGGTGTTTCTCTTTGAGAAGAATTACTGAGGAAATGTACCTGAGGTATAATAAAGGCCAAGATAGTATAAAGATTTGTATGGCCAATATTCATTGGCATGTTGTGACTCTCAGAGGATGTGATAATAGAGATGCTGCAAGAGATGCTGCTAGGTTGAGCCCTAGCTGGTGTTGCTCAGTGGATAGAGCATCAGTCTGAGGACCAAAAGCTCCTGGGTTCAATTCTGATCAAAAGCACGTACTTCAGTTGCAGGTGCCCTGGTTGGGGTGCATGCAGGCAGCAACCAATCGATATGTCCTTTCTGATTGGTGTTTCTGATTTCACCCCTACATCCATAGCAGAACAATTCACCATAGCCAAGATTTGGAATCAGCCTAAGTGCCCATCAGCAGATGAGTGGACTAGAAATCTGTGGTACATCTACATGATGGAATACTATGCTGCGGTGAAAAAGAAGAAATTCTTACCATTTCCAACAGCATGGATGGACCTGGAGAGCATTATGCTAAGTGAAATAAGCCAGTCAATGAAAGATAAATACCACATGATCTCACTCACTCATGGATAATAAAGACCATTATAAACTGATGAACAAAAATAGATACAGAGCCAAAACCGGTTGGGCTCAGTGGATAGAGCGTTGGCCTGCTGACTGAAAGGTCCCAGGTTCGATTCCGGTTAAGGGCATGTACCTGGAAAGAAAGAAGAGAGAGAGAAAGAGAGAGAGAAAGAGAGAAAGAAAGAGAAAGAGAAAGAGAGAGAGAAAGAAAGAAGGCAGGTTGAGAGGTGACCATCATGGGGCCCCACCACCTGCCAAGACAGTGGGTGCTGTGGGCGCTGTGGCCCCTCCAGACGCAGGGCTCGCTCACCATCAGGAAGGGGCCGTCATCCGTGAGGAAGACTTCCAAGGAAAGGCAGCAAGTGCTCATAGTGAGCGTCGCCAGAGGGTTCACATCCCGACAGTTCCACACTTTGATGGTGTTCCATGCATCCACGGTGACTGCAAGCGATCTCTGCGGCAGGGTTGCCAGACACTTGATGTTGCATTGCTGGGCGGGGCTGGACCAGATCATAACGCCCTGGAAACGAGAGTAACGCTGTCTGCGTTCAGGGGACTCTCCCACGTGCGGGCATCCTGCCAGGGCTTATGTGGAAGCTTCCTCCAAACCAGGTGTATTTTTTCTGGGAATAGAATTAAGAAAATTCTGCTATACATCTCAGCTCTTTGAGGAGTAGTGAACATTAAAAAGGAATTATGGTCCTAACCAGTTTGGCTCAGTGGATAGAGCATCAGCTTGTGGACTGAAGGGTCCCAGGTTCCATTCCGGTCAAGGACATGTACCTTGGTTGCGGGCACATCCCCAGTGGCGGGTGTGCAGGAGGCAGCTGATCGATGCTTCTCTCTCATCGATGTTTCTAGCTCTCTATCCCTCGCCCTTCCTCTCTGTGAAAAATCAATACAATATTTTTTAAAAAAAGGAATTATGTAGCCCTAGCTGGTGTGGCTCAGTGGATAGAGCTCTGGCCTGCAGACTGAAGGGTCCCAGGTTCGATTCTGGTCAAGGGCACATACATCAGTTGCAGGCTCTTCCCCAGCCCGGGGCCCTTGCAGAGGGCAAAGAATTGATGTGTCTCACATCAATGTTTCTTTCTCTCTCCCCCCCTTCTCTTCCCTCCCTTCCATTCTCTTTTAAGAAAAATCATTTGGAAAAAATATCCTTGGGTGAGGATAAAAAATTTAAAAAGTGAATTCTCTACATGCTATAGTCTAAATGAAAAAGTCGCAGGTTACCAGTTAGAAGACCTAATTGGAAATCGTTTCTGTTACCAATTGAGTAGCACCTTCTTCCCAGCACTGGCTTTGCCTGTGGGACAGGGTGGCCACAGGTAGGAGTCACCTGTGTGCTCATTGCCAGACTCACCTCCTGCACATCCCAGGCATAGAGCATGTACCTTGAAGACACCGTGCAAATGACTGGCTTCTGTCCACTCATGGAGGGGTCACTTCCTGAGAAATAAGCCAAAGGTCCCAAGATTCCTGGAAGGCAACACAGACAATACTTGGCCACCAGATACTTAAGGAATGATCCAACTGAATAAAGAGAATTCTGGAACAATAATTTTAAGTTTCTTGCAACCTTAATGGAGAATAGGATGGAAATTGGGCTTCAGAGTCATTCAAACGGGGCCACTGGGGAGATGTTGGCTGATGTGTTTCTCCTGGTTAATCTCAGTTTCCACAGATATAAATGGGGATAAAAATCACTCCATCAGATGCCCAGCTGGTGTGGCTCAGTGTTTGAGCATCGACCTATGAACCAGGAGATTACAACTTGATTCCCAGTCAAGGGCACGTGCTCAGGGAGGGGGCTCAGTCCCCATTGTGGGGAGCAGGAGGCAGCTGATCAATTATTCTCTCTCATCATTGATGTTTCTCTCTCTCCCTTTCTCTCCCTCTCTGAAATTAATTTTAAAATATTTTTTTAAAAAAAACCACTCCAGTAGAGAACTGCTTAAATAACTTATTTAAATGTTTCCTTTTCCGAAAGAGAAAAGCATACCGAGACTCAGAGGAGGTACGGTGCCGAAGTAAAATACAAAGGTGCGGAGTGCATGCGGAGTGGGCTGGTGGCTGAGGACACAATTGTCTTTTTCAATCCGGAGGGAGTCTCAGGCTCTGAGCTCCAGTTCCGGCTGAGTCTCTAGGGACCCAGACTCAAACGGGAGAAGCGGGTCTGTCTGGCATTGGTCGGAACTCGAGGACAGCTTTCTCTCCGAGGTTTGCAGCAGTTGCTGGGACACTGAGAGGCAGAGCCTCTGAAGGC